GTATTATTATCTTAGCAGTACGGCCTCACAGAAATCTAAATCTCACTAGATAGGTTATTATATAGCAACTACCAGACTAATATGTGAGCACTTATCTTCTGATGAATCATTAGCATCATTGCCTACAGCATCTCTTCAGTCTTCTTTGAGGTTCACAGCCCAAACTGATAAAAAACAGTTTACCATAGCAAGAAGACGCCATTTCCCGACAGAGCCAAATGTCAGTTCTTCTCATCGGTGTGCCTCCGTCTAATGGTGTCATTAGACACCGCACATTTCCAGTGTTGTGTTGTCTGACAATAAGTTGTCCTAGAACCCAGACTGCTATTCGTATCCCTTCCTAACTCTAATCATGAAAAAGCCTGCCTTCACATCCTGTCTAGCTGTGTGACTATGGAGAAGCCACCAACCTCTCTGGGCCTCAACTTTCTCATCCGTAAAAAAAAAGGAGGGGATTGGACAATGACACAAAATTCCTTCTGGCTCTAAGTCTGTAATAGCCTCTCTGAGCCTCAGTTTCCTCATCTGAAAATGGTGACATAATAAGACTAAGGTAACTACTTCTCAGGGTGGTGAGGTCTGAATGAAGGTAATATGTGGATGATGCTTTACAAATTTTAGAGCTTGATAGCAATGTCAGTTATTATTATTGGTGGTGGTGTCCTAGTGCTTGTTGGTCTAGGGGTGTCTACCTCCTCCGTTCTTGTTCCCCTCCTGGCTTTTTCACTTTAAAGATGTCTTTCGTTGATTTATTCCAGACCTGAGGTTCTGCAAAAATATAATAAACTCCCATTATTTTAAAATCATTTCATCTTTTGAATGCCCTGGGTGTTATATATATATGTAAGACAAGGGATGATAAGATATAATCACTTCTGAAATCAATCATAAGTAGATCAAATAGGCCAAACCTTAAATCATTAGCTTCCAAGGTGATGTTCCTGTTCACCATTGCTAATTTGCAAATCTCCAAGTCTGTGGCAAATTCACTCTTGGACTACTTGTTTTTTATGTAAAACCCACATTTATGACACATTTTGTTAACTTAAAGGATAGAAATTTCCCCTACATCTCTTCATTCTCCCTAGCACACAGTGTACTTTCCCTCCTTCAGGGAGAGTGGCTGCCCTCCAGTGATCTTGTCTGTTCTTTTTGTTTTTCTTTTTAATTATTTTGGTTACACTTGAGTCCCAAGCTGTTTCCCTCCCTCTCTTCCATCCCCGCACCAGAGAAAGCCAATTCTTTTTTACCCTATCCCTCCTCAGAAATCTAATTTACTTCTGACTGCTGCCTCCCTAATCCACACACCCTTCTATAAGTTCCTCCCTTCTCCTATCCCCCCTTGCTATTTCTCTGTAAGTTAAGAAAACTGTTATACCCCACTAAATGTATATGTTTTTCCTTCTTTAACCTAGTGCCAATGAGAATATGGTTCCCATATTTCTTGCCTTCTACCCCATCTCCTCTTCACTGTAACAGTTCTTCCATTCACACCTCTTTTGGATGAGATCACTGACTCTATTTCACCTCTCCTTATCCAATTTTATTTTTTAGGATCATAATCAACTCAACCCCAAGCCTTCTAGCTATGTATACTCTTTCAAAATACCCTAGTAATAACATTCTTAAGAGTTACAATATCATTTCCGCATATTAGAAGTAAACAGTTTAACCTTATTAAATCCCATATAATTAGTCTTTTATGTTTCCCTTCTTGTGTTTCTCCTGATTCTTGTAAGTCAAATTTTCTATTCAGTTCTGGCCTTTTCCTCAAGAATATCTGAAAGTCCTTTAGTTCATTAAATGTCAATTTTTTCCCCTTGCAGGATTAAACTCAGCTTTGCTGGGTAGATTATTCTTGGTTAGAAACCTAGTTCTTTTGCTCTTTGGAATATCATATTCCACACCTTTTGGTCTTTCAGTGTAGAAGCTGCTAAAATCTTATGATGTCCTGACTCTAGCTCTACAACATTTTAATTGTTTCTTTCTACTTGCTTGCAGTATTTTCTCCTTGACCTGGGAGCTTTGAAACTTAGCTGTCACGATCCTGGGAGTTTTCCTTTGGGGATCTCTTCCAGGTGGTGATCAGTGGATTTTTTCACTTTTTGTCTCATCCTCTAGTTCTAGAACTTCAGGGCGATTTTCCTTATAATTTCTTGAAGCATAGTATCTAGACTCTTTTTTTGGTCACAACTTTCAGGTGGTCTGACAACTCTTCTATCATCTCTCCTCATTCTGTTTTCCAGGCCAGTCGTTTTTCCGAGATGTTTCACTTTCTTTTCTATTTTTCCATTCTTTTGATTTTTAAAAATTATTTCTTGATGTCCAATGAAGTCATTAGGTCCCCCTGGCCCAATTCTAAGTTTTAAGGAAGTATTTTCTTCAGTAAGTTTTTGGATCTCTTTTTCCTATCGGTTGACTTTCTTTTCATAAGCTTCTTGTTTTGTCTTGCCTTACTCTTATTTCTTCTCCCAATTTCCCCCAACGTCTGTTATTTGATTTTTAAAATTCTTTTTAAGCTCATCTATGAACACTTTTTGGACTTTGGACCATCTTCCATTTTTCTTTGAAGTTTTACAAGAAGCTGTTTTGTTTTCTTCTGAATCTGAACCGTGATCTTCTCTATCACTATCGTAACTATCTACGGTGGGGTTCTTTCTCTGTTGTTTACTCATTTTAATGGCTTATTTCTTGGCTGTTAACCTTATGATAGGGTTGGGCTCTGCTCCTGGGGTGTGGGGATAATGTCTCAGGCTTCAGGGTTTTCTTGTTTTCTGAGCTTTATCTGGGCCTTTGATCTCTCAGTTCTTCCAGTGTGCTATAATCCAAGGCCCGATGCAGTTATTCCTCCTCCAGCTCACTCCTTGGTCTATGAATGACCTTAGGTGCCCTTCTCCATCCCTTAGCCTTGACCAGGGCCCCCAGCACCACCACCTCCCTGAGGCTGCGTCAGCGGGTCCCTCTGTCCTGGGAGCAAAACCAGGGACTCTGCTCTTCCGCTTTGACCACAGCCAGCTGGGCCCCGGCCCTCTGTGACTGTACTCCAGGTGTGTGTGTCCCTCCCCCTGTCACACAGCCACAGCCTGGGACTCTGTCTGGTCATTGCACTTGGGCCCCCATCCAAGATCCCCCTGCTTGGCTGCCCAACCCCCACAGGCCTGTGGGGCTAAAGCTCCCCACGCCGCCACTGCCCGCAGAGCTGCCCCGGCCTTGTTTGTTGGCTCTGCGGCCTCTGTCTGGAGGTGTCTGCCTCTCACTCTGGCCAACCCCCCCCCCCCCCCCGCCCCCAGCTTTCCTAACACCCTCTCAAGTTGTCTTAGGCTGGACAGCTGCCTACTCTGACTTTTAATGACTTCTGGACCTGACATCTTCCCACAATTCTCTTCAACTGCCTTTGTTCTTTAAACCCTCCTGCCCACACTCCTCTCGTCCTGCCCCTGAGAGTGTTTCTCCTCCTCCCCTTGCCTTGGCTTTCTCCATGTTTTATGACTGTCTCAAGGGCCTGCAGAAATCCCATTTTCTCCAGTAGCCTTCTCAGATTGCGCTGCCTTTTCCTGCCATCCTTTATCATCATGCAGTTTAGGACCTAGTTATTCTCTATTGTTGATTTGAGGTAACTTTGTCTCTGTGTCCAGGCTGTAGTGCCTTGAGGATAAGGTCTGAGTCTTAGACTTCCTTCACTTCCCCCATTGCACCCCACATAGCACCAGGCACAGAATATGCAATTGACAATTGACATTATAGAAAGGGCAATGTGCTTGTTTAAGAACTTAGCGATCTTCAGTCTCTGAAAGAATTCCAAAAGAATTTCATCTGTGTATTTTTTCCATTTCTCTTCAAAGATTTTTTTTTCCAGAAGGGATGCATTTTATTTTTCTCTTTTCTCAGATGATCACACAGATGTGGGATCTCATTGATTTGGAAGTGTCCTTCAACCACGTAAATCACAAGCCATCCGTGTCTGCCTCGCCAGCACGGTGAGATGGATGGAGTCCTGGACTAGGAGTCAGGAATGACTCTTACTGACTGGATGCTACTGTGGAAATCACTTCATTTCTCTGGGCCTCAATTTCCTCATCTGGAAAATGAGGGTATTGAGGGACCAGCAAGTCCATTGAGGGCCTCACTGGCCTCTAATGGCCCCTCCACATCTATTGTCCTCCGATCCCATGCTACTTTGATCCGAGGGGGTCCACGCTAAGGGTGGAGGCCGCCTTCACTTCCTTCTGAAATCTGGTGATTGCCAGTAGAGGACTTTGGCTGTCCCCTTATTTCTTGTCCTCTTCACATCACCAGTGCATCTTCTCTTCCTATCATATCATTTCTTTTTCTTTTTCTTCATCTAATTTCTTTCCTACATCTTATACTCTATTTCTTCTTCAGAATGTCTCACTAGTTGCAGTTTTCTTATCAAATGGTCTAAAAATTCCTGACTTTTCCTTTTTGGATTATGAGCTCATAATGCTATAATAAAGTTTCTTTTAAATAGAGATAGATATAATTATGGAGGGAGGAAGACTAATGTCCCTTATTGTCCAGAAAGCCGTTTGAGTAATTTTCAAACCCTATTTTCTATATTCCCATGTATCCTGTTTTGTTTTACAAGGTTGAGGTATGTTTCAAATGCTGAGGCTCTACCTACATCAGATTACATGCTGTCTTGGGGAGGGGGAAAATTTAGAACTCAAAATCTTATAAAAGTGAATGTTGAAAACTAAAAATAAATTTTAAAAAATTCTGAGGCTATAGAAGTGTTGATGGTAATAAAGGTAAGAATGGAAGGTTAGGGTGAATTTTTGAATCCGTCTGAGCTTATGAGTGCTCACCAAGAAGTAGTAAACTATTAGTATTCATTGCTAGCCTTTGGCAGGTGGTGATAGCATCAGTGGACCCAGAGAGGTTTCAGCAGCATTTTTCAATGTGATTAACTGAGGAATGTAACATTTGTGTTAAATAATCCTTCCTTTTCACCAAAATAATTAGGTCTCTTTCATTGACAGAAAGTACTTCCAAGACAGAATTGAGACCAGAGCAGAGCTATTGCATCCATATGCCGAGCAGAAGTGCAGTGTCCCAGGAAACACTGCCACTCAAAATGAATGCTTGGAAATCAGCAGAAGTAAGTCTTGAGACAAACTCGTAGAGAATTATTTGGCCTGCTGAGAAATTAACTGCAGCTGCTAGAAAACAAATACTTTTCCATCTTCATGTGGGTTCATAGGGTTAGAGTGGGAAGAACCTTTGGGGTTGTTGAGTGTATCCCCTTCATTTTGCACCTGAGACATGGAGGGGCTAAGGGACTTACCCAGGGTCATCCAGCTCGTAAATCTCTAGACATTTTTCACTTCTAGCTTTGCTTATTTTAACCTATTATTGGAGTGCTGAATAACAAAATGGAAGCAAGACTCTTTTGGGAATTCTATTTTCAAAAAAAAAAAAAAAGGAAATGGTGTTTGGGATGGTTGATTTCCCCCCCAGAAACGGAAATTTCTATTATATAACTTAACTGCGGAGGGAGTTTAGTTGTGTCTTCCTTCGATCTCCAAAGGAGATTGGCCCCTAATTTGCCACGTCTATACAGAAATGCCCAGAAAATATGAGTCTTCAAAGCAATTTGAAATCTGAAGACAGAGAAACAATTTTACTAAGAAAAGAAAGGAATAGATGTAGATGTGTGGGAAACTCAATGACCCGTTTAGATTTAAGCAAAGGCCTGGGCAGAAGAAGGAAGTGAGGACTTGGAATGGAGAATGAGCGCAAAGGGGAAGAATGGTTCTGGTCGTGTGGGAGCCCAGGAGCCCAGAAGCAGTGAGTCCGGTGGGGGAAGCCAACCCTGACCCAAAGGTTGTTTGCTTTGATCTCTAAGAGGGAAGAGCAGGGCGTCAGGTTGGTGGATCAAAGAAGGGCTGGGACAGCCTCTTGGGAGGGGGATAATGGAAGTAGAGGAAAGGTGCTCCTCAAAACACTTGTATTCGTTCTATTTTCTCTGTCACAGAGAGGGGTCCTTAGACTAAATAGGACAGGACCAACATGGCCCATAGGGAGTTACTACCTAGTATAAGTAAGGAGGTGTTAAGAGAGGACCGAGCTACTCAGACTGAGATAAACGAGAGCCCAAGTGTCTGTGGCTCTGAAAGGGCCTGGGGAAGAGACATGGTGTCACAAAGTGGCTGGTGCTCCTGTTTTCAAATAAGAGAACAGGGTATAGTCTGTCAACTCTAGCCCAGTGAACTTGACTTCAGTTCCAAGAAAACTTCTGGAATCCCTTCTGAATCCTGGGCAAGCCACTTAATATCCCTTTTAAAAGGATGGATAGAGGAGGAAATGGTGATCGCAGTGTCTGCATGGCTTCTCCAAGAACTGCTCTTACCCAACTACCCTCTTTTCCTTTTTGGTTAGGGTTACTAGAATGGTGGATGAGAAGAGTGCTCTAGAGGTAGTTTACATAGATATAATGACAAAGTCTTTCGTGCTGTTGCTGTGAAAGACATGGAGAGATGCAGGCTAGGAGACGGTAGAGGTAGGTGGCTTTAGGCCTGGTCGAATGGCTTGCTGTCAGCTGGGGAAGGAGGTTTCTAGGTGGAATACGCCAGGATGTCTTGGAATCCTGGTCTTGGAATCCTCAATGTTCTTATCAACAGCATGGATAAAAGTGTTGATAACATGCTTACTAAATCTGAAGCTGACACAAAGCTAGAAGGGAGCACTAACAAGGTAGAAGCCTATCGGGTGCCAAAAAGAAGGAGATGGGCCCCCTGCCGAGGGGAATGCAGAGGTCTGGATTTTAATAGGGATAAATCCCGAGGGTTACATTTGGGTTAAAAATCAACCTTACAAACGCCCTTTGAGGTTTGCCTATATCAAAGACAGTAGTGGTATGATCTATGTTACTACATCCGAAAAAGATCTGGGGTTTTAGTGGCCTTCAAGCTCAACATGAATCTGTTTTGTAATTTGGAAATCATAAAAGCTAATGTCCTCCTCTTCTGGTGGTATTAAGGGAGGCCTACAGGCCAGAGCTAGGGAGCTGAGAGTCCTGCTGTACATTACCCTGGGCAGGCCAAATCTGGGGGACTGTATTCAGTTCTTTTTGTCACATTTGAGGCAGGACCTCAGTGTGCAAGATGGCATCCAGAGAAGGGCAGTGGAGATGGTGAAAGGCCTGGAGGTTTGACCACATGACGTCAGTTGGAAGAATCCAGGACGGTTAGCTTGGAGAAGAGAAATTTTAGGGGCCCCATTGATTAGTGCCTTAGAGCATTAGAAAGGTTACCACGAAGAAGAAGGGTTGAAGTTGTTCTTGGCAGAATGGGGAGCAGTGTGAAAAATCTGCAAAAGGCAAATTTCAGATGTGCATAAGGAAGAAAACTCTGGCCCCCTTAGCGGCATTCCAAAGAGTGGTGGTTTCCTTGGGGGGGGGCAGTTCTCTTTGTCCAGAGCTCTTGAAGCAAGGACTTTCCTTCGGGGTCCAGGCCACCAGAGTTTGTGGTCTGCTGGCGTGGCTCTGGACAATCCAGGGTCAGTGTTGCTCTCCAAAGAGGCATTTGATTAACACCTTGGTGCGGAAGGCAGAGTCATGATCCCCAAGTTTCAAGCTTTGGCAGTGTTGACACTCACTCCTTTTTCTGGTGGAAACATGGCTCAGCTTTCTTATTGTAGGGGTAACTCACTCTCTTTGGGAATGACATCCCCCACAAGCCTGTGCAGAGCTGGGCAGGTGACTCCTCCTGCCCAGACTCTGGTGGCATGGGGGCATTTGCAGAGGGCTTGGCCAGAAGCTGAGGGGCGGTACTTGGGAAAGGACGCTACCCTGGAGGGGAGAAAGGGGTACAGAGCCCGAAAGCTGCCCCACAGCTTGTGTAACTCCTCAAAGAGGTTTTCTTCCTTTTTTTTGCTGGGAAGCTGTGGCAACAGGCATTCTTCTGTCTGTGATTCCTGTCCTGAGAAGCTCTGTTTGCAATCACCACTTTGGAGAGCTAATGCTGCGGTGGAATGAATGTCTTTCAGACCTTGAAGCTACGTCAAATGAGATTGTATTTGCAATATATATATATAATATATTATAATATTATGTAATATACATACACATATAACAACCCAGTGCTTGGCACATAGCAGGCATTCTATAAATGCTTATTCCCTTCCTCCCTGGGTTTGGTCACGGGAGAATTTCTGCCACCCCTTCTCTCCTCCCCCTCCCTCCCACCTTTTGGGGTTGCTTCCATGTACTGATAGAGCAGCTTGGGGGATACAGAGAGAAGGGATTTACAAACATGTTTTTTTCTGATCTTCTGGATTACAATGCTGGGCTGATAAGCTGGTATGGGAAGCCAAGAATTCACTACCTACATCCTCTGGAAGTTTGGGAGGTTATAGCTTGGGAAATTTATGTTCCCTACTATATAACTTGGATTCTATTTTAAGTAAATGCCCCTTTGCACTGGTGTGATGTCTTGTGGTTAATTCAGGGGGTTTAGGGGGAGTTCAAAGAAAAACAAGGGCTTGTGAGCAGCCGTGGGATAACTGGAGACAGAAACAGGCTCTAGGAATTTGGAGACCGATGCTGGACTAGGAGAGAGGGAGCTAGCCTTGCAATCAGAAAGACCTGGGTTCACAGTCTGCTTCTACTACACACCAGCTCTACGACCCTCAGCAAATGACTTAGCCTTTCCATGTCCAAGGTGTCTCTGCAAGTTATGGAAAAATGGTTGACCTGCCTCCGTTAAAAGGCAGCGTTTCAAAACACACTGGGTGTTCCTCAGAGAGCTAAATCACAAGTCTAGGCCAAAAAAATGTATTTTCCACAGTGTGAAATTGTGCATTTGACACTTTTAATTTTTCCTTTTCAGCATAAAGGGCTTCTACATTATTCTAACTTCTGAAAAACTTTCTATTTAAGGAACTTAGGTAATTGGAATTAGAATCTCAAGATACTTTCTTCACCTTCTGATCGAGGTGAATGCTGTTCATTTTACAATGTTAGTGTATTTCAGAGTGACTGGTGGGGGTCACAGAACAAAGATGAATATGAACTGAAAAATGTGGCTTGGTGGAGGTCATCCAAAAATGGAGCTCCCCATATCTAGTGAATCTCATTCCTTGAAACAGTGTAAATCTGATCCTATGTACGATGATTATTTTATGTTGCTTTGATAATGTAATTATCCCCAAATGTGTTATTCAGTTTAAATGACAGACTAGCTCAAGATAGAAGGGGAAGAAAGTAAATTTTCTGTATCATAGACTAGTAAGCTTGATCCTAGGAGAAAGTCTAGGATGTATTATTAAAATTCTCACTTGCAAGTGCTTAGAAAGGGGTTCAGTGATCACCAGGGGCTATTATGGATTCATGAAGAACAAGTCACACTCTTTTTTTTTAAAAATTTATCAACGATCACTTCCATATGCTTTTGAGTTTAAAAATTTTCTCCCCCTCCCTCCCCACCTCCTCCCCAAGACAGCTTGCAATCTGATATAGGCTATACATATACATTCCTATTAAACATATTTTCACATTAGTGATGTTGTAAAGAAGAATTAGAACCAATAGGAAGAACCACCAGAAAGAGGAAACAAAACTCAGCAGAAGAAAAAAAATATCAAATAGTATGCTTCGATCTGCATTCAAATTCCATAGTTCTTTCTTTGGATGTGGATAGCATTTTCCATCACGAGGCCTTTGGAGATGTCTTAGGTCCTTGCATTGCTGGGAAAGGAAGTTTATCAATATTAGTCATCGCACAGCGTGGCTGTTACTGTGTAAACATTCTCTCCTGGTTCTGCTCACTTCACTCAGCATCAGTCCATACAAGTCTTTCCAGGTTTTTCTAAAGTCAGCCTGTTCATCATTTCTTATAGCACAATAGTATTCCATTACATTCATATACCACAACTTGCTCAGCCATTCCCCAATTGATGGGCATCTTCTCAATTTCCGATTCTTTGCCACCACAAAAAAGAGCTGCTATGAATATTTTTGTACATGTGGGTCCTTTTCCCATTTGTATGATCTCTTTGGGATATAGTCCTAGAAGTGCTATTGCTGGGTCAAAGGATATGCACATATTTATAGCCCTTTGGGCATAGTTCCAACTTGCTCTCCAAAATGGTTGGGTCATT